ATTAAAAATAATAAAAAATATTCAAATTTATTTTGGAACAAACCTGTCTACTAAAGGTGTAAGATAACCTTTTTGAGTCCAATTTAATTTGTACTGATACAGAAATCTGAACAATGCCTTTTTGAATGCTGAGCCAGAGTTAATTTTATCGTTAATGCCTTTTGATATCCGATCTAAAATGAGCTGGGAAAAAAAATAAAATTAAATTTATTAATCTAGTTAGAGTTTAACGTTTCTTAAAATTATTGTTATCGACCCCAATTAATTAATTAATTATTAAATTTGAGTTTTTGTCGTTTTTAATTTTTATGTTATATGTGTGTTTTTATGTATATTAAATAAATAATTGATTTAGTTTTGTCCCAATTTATGAAATTAAGTGTTTTATTTATTTTTATATAAGTTTTATATAAATCATTTAATAGTGTGTAGTTCAAAAGGAAAAATACATACGAATTATTTTTGCAATAAACATATATACAAAATATATATATATGTCATATATATAAACATATATATGACAACTTAACATAGCAAATTAGTAAATATTGATGAGTTTATTATAATCTACAAAAACTTACACCACTACAAAACAACACAATTTATGTGTGCCGTGAAAAATAATTATTTTACTTATATATCATGTCAAAAACAGCTAATTGAAACACAAATTAGTTCACAAACAGGGACCGTAACAGTTATCATAAAAAAAAAATTAAAATCACCTTATAACTCTTATCATTCGCATTTTAAAACAAATGTCAAAAATTAATAATTAAATTTGCTTTATATTATATTCATCAAATATAATAATTATCATGTGCCTTTTATTTTTTCACGCAGAAATAACTCTTAAAATTCTGCTTTTTATTTTAAAACGGTATATAACTCATACTGGCGTGTCGAATATTTTTAGAAACAAAAATATAAAATAAATTTTTAATACAAGAGAGTTCTTTTATTTTAAAACTCTCACATATATAAAAAGCATGCATAATATTAAGGATAAAGGGTTTATTCAGATATGAGTATAGACAACTTTTTGTTACTGCTTTTTTTTATTTTTGAAATAACTGTTATTTTCTGACAAACTATAAATTTTTTAAATATTTGTATTTAACTTACTGGTACTGAAGTCATGCAAGTCGGTTTCAAAACGGTGGCATCTCCTTTACTACCACGCATAATTTTACTACTTGTATCAATTAATGTTAATGGTGTGGAATAACCAATTGGTACGCCAGTCATAAGGCAAACACTTTCTGCCAAAAGCTCAAATACATGCGCCAAAGGTAAAAAGCTGTATTAAAAGATAAAATTAGTTTTTTTTATTAAATTTAGTTTTCTTATTATAACTTACCCAATCAGTACATCATGCAATCTGACATTTCCATTGGAAACGTTGACATTTTTTTAGCATAACATCACTCAGAACGTGTTGTCATGTAATTGGACAACACTCTCTGCAATTGGTTTGCAGAGAGTCTTCGGAGAAATTCGAAAAACGAACAAGAGAAGACGAATCATTGTTCACCATGACAATGCGAGCTCTCACACATCGGCTCAAACCAACGCCTTTTTGACCGGCCAAAACGTTGAATTGATGGGTCATCCGCTGCCCGACTTGGCACCCAATGACTTCTTTTTATTCCCACACATCAAGAAAAAATGCGTGGTCAACGATTTTCGTCGCCAGAAGATGCTGTTGAAGCGTTCAAAAACCATGTTTTGAAGGTTTCTCAATCGGGGTAAAAAAAGTGCTTCGACAATTGGTTTGAGCGCTGAAAAATACTTTGAAAAACAGTAAAACTATTTTTGCTGATAAATTTTCGCATTTTTATTTTTAGGCCAGAAATATATATAGCAACCCTCGTATTTTGCGAATGTTCTTAAAAAAGCTGGATTCTAAATCCAAAAATTTGCCGAATTTAATAAACGTGCATCTAAGTCCGCAAATTGAGAAGTATACCTATCACTACTTTCATTTTATTATATGCTATCAATCAGTGGACATTTTTTGTTTTTGATCGTTCAGTTTTTGAAATTTTATTATAAGTTATTTAAATAACATATAATTTTTAGAAAAATATTTTGAAATTAGATAAAATTCATAATTTAGATAATTATAAATTAAATTGCATTATAAATTATTGATGGTACATTGAACTAACTGATAATAAAGTGTGATAACATTTAATTAAAACGTATAACTGATATACTCTATTGTAAAAACATACGTCATTTTCGATAATTATATTGAAACATTTAAAAAGGTTAGTTGAATTGATTAAAAATTAACAGTTTTAAATACATACCTAAAATAAATTTATATCAGAAGTTAATATATATAAATTAAAAATACATGTAAATTTATTCGCAAAGATATTTCATTTTATTAATATACATAAACGAACTATACAATTGCTTTGTGTACAAATATCTATATATGTTCATGCAAAGCTAATTATAAACAATAAAATTTATTGTTGAATTCATTTATATTATTAGATTATAAGTATATTGTAATTTTTAAGATTTATTTTTTATCAATAAATATAATGGGTCTGTCAGTCATGACCATAATTTTAGTTTGAATAAAATCATAACATATTACGTGTATATAAGTATATCCAATTATATCAATTTAAATTAAACTATTACAATTTATTTGTCTTACATACTTATTTTTAAACTAATTAAAATATATTTTATATTTTATTACCAAGTCTTTTTTACTTAATTTTTCATATTCAGTTTTTACAATTAATAACATTAAAAGCAATTAATCTAATGTACATTTATTTTGTTTAGGTATAATCAACATAACTTTATAAAATAATTTGGTAAATATATTTTTTTACAAAATTTAATAATAATATTGATATATTAAAGTTTATACAATTTTTTATAAAGTTTTCATTTTCTTCAATATAAAATTGTTTAAATTTTTTTAATTATTTACATTATTGATTCTCCTATTAACTACACATTTGCAATGTTCTCAATCTAGTTTACAATAAATTATATTTTAAATATTATAACAAATACATAAATATATGTTATAACTCGCTTTTTATTATATTGTTATAAAAAATTAGAGTGTAAAAAGAAGAAACTAACAAGTACAACTGTGCTAAGAAAAATTACATATAATTTAGTATTAAATATATGTAAATATTTTTATTTAAAATTTTTTAAATAAAAAAACTTTATATATATTCAATAATTGCACTAAAAAAGCTTTTAAAATATAACATAATTTTGTGTATATCCCATAGGTATAGATATATCAATATATTACAAAATTTGGTACTTAATATTACAACAAAGATTTAAAATATTATATAATATATGTGACTTATTTTATAGATAACATTTTTTCTAATATAAACTTTATACAATTTATAATTAGTTTTTCTAGCATTAAATTAGATATTTTATAATTTTTTTGTTTTTTTTCGGAAAAGGTATTCAGCTAAAAATACCTTAATTTTACTTCAATTTTTTTTTGTATAGCAAAAAAAAAAAAACTAATGTTAAAAATATGAATATTTCTTTAAATATAAACGCAATCAAATAAAAGCACAAACTATTTTAAAAAACAAATGGACATTTAGTATTATGCTTTGAAATTCTTTCGTATTTTTTGCCTCGTAGGATTCCAACGCTTAAAAAATTTTAGTTTGCGTCAGTCAAAGCTTTAATTATTGAAACTTAATAAGGTAATTTTCATGAAGCATACATGCGATTTATATCATGTTGGTATTTGTCTTGTATGTCTTTGCGCTTAAGTTTAAAGGCAGCTGTTACCAAGCCCATATCTGGAGACCAAACCTCTTTGCATAAAGTGATAGCAGCAGGTACTTCAAACTTTTGTAATTTACCTAAAACAAAAACCATAAGATAATTTTCACGTTAATTTTAAATAAATAATTTAAATAATTAAACAATTAACAATATTTTAATATATTGGTAATTTAACTACAAATTATTGATATGTAAAAAAATGTGAGAGAACTTTATTTAAATTTATTAAAATTAATTGCCCAATTAGCAAGGACGTTTAAAACATTTAACTAATAAATTATAAATTTTGCCAAAAACATTTGAATTACAAATTAAAAAAGTAATTTTTAGTATATACATACTTAAAAGAAATATTTTAATCATAACAGACACTTATGTACTTTTTACAAACAACCTAACCTAGCTATCGAAGTTATTCATCCAAATAAATGTAAAATACTAATTTAGATCACCTCATTGCGTATATTCACATAGAAATATAGCTTATATTAGTTTATTGCTATATCTACAGAACACGAAATGTTTAACCAATTCAACTAATATGGTTAAATATATATACAAATTGCAATAATATTTTTCTGAACACAATTCCCTTCAACCCCTTCACTATTTATTAGACCATATTTGATCATAATGGTACCTAACGTATTTCTATAGATTACACATTAACTGTAAAAGCTAAAGATCACTCCCTCAACTCTTCCTGTCCCACACAACTACAATTCTAATCCATGATTTTATCTTATAATCCATTCGTATTTCCTATTCTATAGTTCTCTACGGTAATTATATTGGACGCGTATTCCATACACGCTATTTATTTTGTAAATATCGTTACACCAAAATATTGCTAAATTTTCTATATATTCAATAAATACTAACATTTTCTCGCATGTTCCGCAATTTCTTTAATCATAGCTTTTTCCAATACTGGTGATGCACATAACTCATCGAAATGTTTATTTTCTAGGCCATGACGTTGTGCTAGTTCTTCTAAGTGTTTCTGGTTGGGTACTACTAATCCAACAGTAAATTGTTTTGATGGATCACCATATACGCAAATATTTTCAATATATGGACAAGTTTTTAGTTCTGACTCAACTTTTCCAAGTGAAACATATTCTCCAGCTTGTAATTTAACTAAATCCTTTTTACGATCTATAAATTGTAATTGTTAAAGATTTTTTTTCAAACAGAAATATGTTAAATTATTACCAATAATTTTAAGTACGCCGTCGGGATGTATTTCACCAACATCTCCAGTTTTGAACCAACGTCTGCCATCTTCTTCAAAGAAATCTTCAGCTGTTTTGCCAGGTAACTTGTAATAACCCAATGACACACAATCACCACCAATCAATACTTCTCCCTATAGTAAATATGGAAATTAAAAATTAGATAAAAAATGTCTACAACTACAAGTAAATTTGTGCTTACTTGAGGATATGGTTTATTAGTTACTCGATAATTTCCTTCCTCCCAATTTACTAGGCGTATATCACATACTGTCAAAGGTGCACCTGTGCGTCCGTATGTCATATCACGATCTATTAATTTCAAAATATTTTTTACATAATTGTGCTTGAATAATTTAGAAATAGTTTAAGGGCTTACAATCCATAACAGTTGCTCCTGATGTCGTTTCAGTTAAACCATAGCCTTGTACTAAATCTACACACAAACATATTTTAATTTGCTCATGTGTATCCGGTGATAATGGAGCTCCTCCAGACATAATAATACGTACGCGACCACCAAGCAATTTTGATACTTTATGAAAAACTAGCCTATAACAAATATAAGCTGATTATTAAAAATAATAAAAAATATTCAAATTTATTTTGGAACAAACCTGTCTACTAAAGGTGTAAGATAACCTTTTTGAGTCCAATTTAATTTGTACTGATACAGAAATCTGAACAATGCCTTTTTGAATGCTGAGCCAGAGTTAATTTTATCGTTAATGCCTTTTGATATCCGATCTAAAATGAGCTGGGAAAAAAAATAAAATTAAATTTATTAATCTAGTTAGAGTTTAACGTTTCTTAAAATTATTGTTATCGACCCCAATTAATTAATTAATTATTAAATTTGAGTTTTTGTCGTTTTTAATTTTTATGTTATATGTGTGTTTTTATGTATATTAAATAAATAATTGATTTAGTTTTGTCCCAATTTATGAAATTAAGTGTTTTATTTATTTTTATATAAGTTTTATATAAATCATTTAATAGTGTGTAGTTCAAAAGGAAAAATACATACGAATTATTTTTGCAATAAACATATATACAAAATATATATATATGTCATATATATAAACATATATATGACAACTTAACATAGCAAATTAGTAAATATTGATGAGTTTATTATAATCTACAAAAACTTACACCACTACAAAACAACACAATTTATGTGTGCCGTGAAAAATAATTATTTTACTTATATATCATGTCAAAAACAGCTAATTGAAACACAAATTAGTTCACAAACAGGGACCGTAACAGTTATCATAAAAAAAAAATTAAAATCACCTTATAACTCTTATCATTCGCATTTTAAA